CACGTTTCCAAAACGTTTCCGTTTCCTCTTTTTTAAAGAAAAACCGTTTCCGTGTTTCCTAACGTTTCGCTTCCACGTTTCCGTTTCCATGCAACTTAGTATAAAACACGGCTTCCACGAAATATTCCGATCGTCATGCATGTGGGTATATTCAAAATCTTTTACATAGATAAATGATTGATAATAAATAATATGTATTTTTTTTTCTTTTGAAACTTATAAATAATATGTATTGTATAGTTTTGTTCACAAAATACTAAATTTGTGAATCTTTCCGATAAATTATCATGAAAAAACTATATATAATATTAGTGTATTATAAAGTATGATATATAGTTTTTTTTTCTTTTTAAGAAAATTTTATGATATATACTTTGAGTGATATATGGTTAGCCGAACTTAAAACTTTTGATACTCATATACACATATACCCATATACAAAATTAAAAGGCTAAAATTTCGAGAATCCGATACATATGATGACACATGTATAACAAATATCATATTAAGATATTTTAAATAATTTTCCAACTCTAAGATTATGCTTAACAAAAGCCACATATATTGATTATTTATAAACCTCATTAAGAACATGGAATTCAGATCTTTCATAATATGCTGCGTATTTGTTTCACATATCATCAAATGAAACTACATATCAATGCAATGTAAGTATATTTACGGAAGACAGTGAGAAGAAGTGAAACCAATAGCACAAGCTTGAAAGAAACTTTCTTCATTCTCAGAGATGTATAATAGTTTTGATCTCAGCTTTGCGATTATAATTATATACAAGAGTTTGAATCTTATGAAATTAAGCTGTTGTCAGAAAAAAACGAAGTTACCGTGTAGTTTAAGATTAGTCATCGGCTCATCGCTATTTATGGTGTAGTTTAAGATTTAGGAATTTAAGACAACTTTTAGCGACATCATCATTAAGATTTCGTTTTGTATATATTTTTTTTTCTTGTCAACAGATTTCGATTTGTATAACTTACAAACTACAATTGGAAAAATATAAGTGTAATTAATACAATTGGAAAACAAATCAAAAATAGAAGTGTGAACAATATCGAGAGAGAAAAAGAGGATAACAATTCTAATAAGGAAATCAATACAAATCAATGAAGTCCTTTTCTTTTTAACTAAAAGATGGTGAATAACAAACTAAAACTAAAAGAAGGCATATGTCAAAAATGAAATTAAATTCGTATTGAACTAAAACTAGTTATTGGATTTGATATTTAAGTTCACTTTAGATCCCAACCATAAGTTTTTGTTTTTTAACGAATGGAGTAGTTTTTAAATTTAGTTGACACTGTATGTACATAATTTTTGATATACATGTTTGCTATTTTTCAGTAGATGTATGAAAAATTATAAAAACCTTTGAAAATTAATGGGTAAAAGACAAGGAAACAAAACTTTGATATATCCTCTATAATTAGAAATCTGTATTAATATTTTTTTAAAGAAATTCAAGAAACATATC